GTTCAGGACATAGTTTTGAGCAGAAAAGTGAGTTGAAGCACAACTCAAATCATATCAACAAGTTAATATCTATTCTTCTGATGTTTAAATTTTATCCTTTAGAGAGAACAGCTCTAAAGTAAAGGCTGTGACTTTCAAAAAGTAGATAATATTGTATTTTGAAGTACCTGTGATTAGGTATAAGTTCATACTAATCAGATATCTATAATTCATTAACACTTGGGGTAATATTTATGACCAAATACTATTATATTGGAATATGTATATCACAAGACAAATATATGAGTTAAAATTTACATATGTGTTTATATGTATGTATGTGTGTATGCACACATGCATGAACACACACATATATATATATAGAGAGAGAGAGAGAAAAGAGATCATATTTATGACAAGGTATTAATTTATTATAACATGTGTTCAATAAAGACATACCAGAATCAGAAAGTTATTGTAAATTTAAAAATGGTTTCATTTTATAATGAAAGTCTATATATTCTTATAGCTCAAGACCCTGCACTATTTTCTAATAAGATATTTAAAACCAAACCAAATGCTTTTCCAGCAAGAAAATCAAGTTGTTTCATTTGTTTTAGTACAAGGAACATGTTTCAGCAAGGCCTTTGTCTTAAGGATTTTACCATTGTCCTTGAAACTCACTTTAAAATTCAGTCTTTTAAAAACTGCGCAAGTATAAAAGGAAACTTTCTTTCCCTATAAAATTTAATTTACACGTAAAATTAATTTGAAACCTAACATAAAGTCAGACTTTAACAAGCATTATTCTAAAACTCATGCCAAGAAACAGGCACTTGTACAATTTCATGCCTGGCACTTAATTTCTTTTTAAGTAAAGCAATTGAAAAATTCATTAATTTTTTTCTTAACCATTAGCTTGAAAGTTCTCATGTAATGAGACCATTAATTGAAGCTATTTTATGTATTCTATGGTTGCCTCTGAGGTTAACTCTCTATTACCAGTTTTAACCATACTATAATCCAGACAAAATTTTTCTTTGCTGGCTTGTTTGAATAGTTGCAGTGCTCTATACCCTGGGGGTTATAATTCTTCTAACTGTCCTCCAAAATCCTGTGATCTTTTGCCGCCAGGACCAGTAAGGGTGCACGTTCAGAGACACCATTCGGGCTCTGCTTATGCTTGGAGTGGAGTTTGGGGAAGGGTGGGGATGCTTTCGCCTTACATGCTTTCTCCTATCCAATCTGCCCTGATGAGAGCATGCAACTATTTAAGTGGCCAGGGCCCTGAAAAGCCCCCATTGCATATCAGACACATACATCCTGGGTTTTAAACTAAAAACAATAAATGAGCTGGGCATTTTTCTTTTTTTTTTCTAATTTACTGATTTTTCTACTTATATTTCTTACTCTTTCCTGTTTTGACTTTTTAGTGTCTTTGTGTGTTTTCTTAACATTTGAATTGTATGTTTATTGCTTTTATTTTCTTTCTTTTAGCTATTTCCTAAAAATGTTAACACGGTTTCTATAAGCATGTTTTTCTAGAAGTCCTGTAATTTTGATTTGTATATTTCCTTTGATCCAAGATTTATTTATTTATTTATTTATTTATTTATTTTTGAGACGGAATCTCACTCTGTTGCCAGGCTGGAGTGCAATGGCGTCATCTAGGCTCAGTGCAACCTCCGCCTCCTGGGTTCAAGTGATTCTCCTGCCTCAGACTCCCAAGTAGCTGGAATTACTGGCATGTGCCACTACGCCTGGCTAATTTTTTTGTAATTTTAGTACAGATAGGGCTTCACCATGTTGGCCTGTTGGCCAGGATGATCTCTGTCTCTTGACCTCGTGATCCGCCTGCCTCGGCCTGCCAAAACCCTGAGATTACAGGCGTGAGCCACTGTAGCAGGCCAAGATTTATTTTTAAAAGGGTTCTTGTCTCCAATCAAGTAAATTTTACTTTTTGTCATTGGTTTCTAGTCACACTCCATATTTATATTGGCAGATGTTATTTGCATAATTTATTAATTTGTTATTCTTTAATGATTGGGCAAGAGATCCTTTCTGTATTGTGAATTTATTTTTAAATATGTCTCAAACTACTTTTCCTTATTTTCTTGCAGATTCTTTTGGCTTTACCAGACAGGGGGAAAGAGGGACACAATAGTATACAGAACACAAATGTAGACCCCAATAAGACCTGAGTGTGAATCTCTGCTGGGCTTCCTGGCTGTGTGACTGGAGGAAGTTCTTTTTTCTTTTTCCATTGAGATGCTCACTTTTTTTTTTCTTTTCTTTTTTAATTACACTTCAAGTTCTGAGGTACATGTGCAGATCTTGCAGGTTTGTTACATAGGTGTATATGTGACGTGGTGGTTTGCTGCATCCATCACTCTGTCATCTACATTAGGTATTTCTCCTAATGCTATTCCTCCCCAATCTCCCCACCCCCTGCTATCCCTCCCCTAGCACCCTCTGCACCCCGACAGGCTCTGGTGTGTGATGTACCCCTCCCTGTGTCTGTGTGTTCTCATTGTTCAACACCCACTTATGAGTGAGAACATGCGGTGTTTGGTTGTCTGTTCTTGTGTCAGTTTGCTGAGAATGATGGTTTTCAGCTTTATCCACATCCCTGCAAAGGACATGAACTCACTCTTTTTTATGGCTGCATACTATTCCATGATGTGTATGTGTGACTGGGGAAAAGTGATCTCCTCAACTGGACAAGCTAAGATTAAAGAAAATAATGTATGAAAAGCATTTAAAGGGCTACCACAAAAATGGTAAAATGGTTGTTATTCATCATCATCATCATGATTATTACTCTTATCCACTTCACTACCAATAAATTACCTATATAAAAATTGCTTTCATGAAATTCCTGAAAAAATTGGAAATTATTGCCTAGCTATGTGAATAGGGGATACAAACACACACATATATAGAGAAATATATGCACGCTATATGCGATTTTATTTAATCTTTTTATTAATCCTATGTAGTACATAAAGTGGGAAATATTCCACCCATTATAAAAGAGACCATGATTAGACTATCTATGGAGCCACCTTCCATGACTAAGGAACTACTAATTCCAGGTGTTTGACCAGGCCTTCTAACTAAAACTATATTTTATGTAATCACACATTCCTGCTTGATTTAATTTCTGTTGCTCCAATGATTTCTAAGTATGAATCGGGCAACTATGAAGTATTTGTAAAAGCAGGCCGCAGTCAGTAACAGTCATGGTACTCTTTCACATTTCATTTCCAAAGACAAGAATCTAGATTAAGAAATAGCCCAGTCTAATTGGATCTACATTCATGCTCTGAATGTGTAAGGAAGACATGGAATAAGAGAATGTGATCAGTGAAGAACAAGTTTAAGCCACTTTTTGTTTCATTACATTTTTGATACCAGCAATCTGAAATTCTGAAAAAATCTCATTTGCAACAATGAGACATCTTAGTTGCTTTCCTCACAAAGTCCAGAGAACTGTGGAATTATTTAAAAGCTGAAAGACCTTTGAGATGGAGGTCAAGAAAAGCTGAAGATGTTCCAAAGAATGCTGTCTGGGCGAGCCGTTTCAAAATATTAAATGAGTTATTGTCTTTCAAAAGAACACTACTGGGAGCTATATAATTATATTTTATACACGGATGTCTCATTTTATTGATATCTCCCAGGAGTTCTGAAGTGCTTTGTAACTGACTGATTCCCCAAACCCTACTCTGGTGAATGACAGAAAAGCTGGTGATTCTGACTTTGCATCTAAACTGCTTGCATGGCATCTTTGATGTACCTACAGCATACTTGGACATGAGTGCTGATGTGGAAACACAATGTGTGGCAACACAGTGCCCCTTAGGCTCTTCTTCAGTCCAGCTGATAGATTACAGAGATGGCAGTTTGACTTGGATTATAAAGAACATTATTGTGAGGCCAAGGCAGGTGGATTGCCCGAGCTCAGGAGTTGGAGACCAGGCTGGCCAACATGGTGAATCCCTGCCTCTACTAAAAATACAAAAAAAAAAAAATTAGCTGGGCATGGTGGCACGTGCCTGTAGTCCCAGCTACTTGGGAGGCTGAGGCATGAGAATTGCTTGAACCGGAGAGGTAGAGGTTGCAATGAGCTGAAATCATGCCACTGTACTCCAGCCTGAGCAACAAAACTATACTGTCTAAATAAACAAACAAACAAATAAATAAATATAAATAAATAACACTGTCCCCATAGCATTGGGAAATGTTAGTTAACTTGCCAAGTGTCCACTTCACATTTGATTTCTGGGTACTTTTTAGAAAATGATTCTCTCATAAAAAGGCCTCTATTTGTTTGATGAGAAAAAACAAATTAAAACCTAAGAGGAAGAGTGTGCACAGGCTGGGAGATGTTTACATGGACCTGAGCTCACCCTTCACAATGATTTATTTAACAAGCATGTATTGAGCCCCTACTGAATGCTCAAAGATAATAGGAAAGTACTTTCCATACAAAGAAGACTCATTCAAAGTAGGAGTGAGATTGACAAGTAGTTCCAGATTTTCAGACACCTGACCTCCTTTCAGAGCCTTCTCCTTGAATGATCAGTTTTGTTCCATTGCTAGGGAACTCCCCTTTGATATCCAAGCATTCAGCTAAAGCAGTGCCTAGGAACACTATGCAGCAGCCAGGACATCTGTGTCCTAGGATAGGTGAAGTTCTTGGAGTACCTCTAGCTCTTCTGGTCCCTTGACCACTAAATACACCTCTTGTTTTCTTTAAAAGTGTAATGGGTTTTGCCCCTAAGAGCTGTAAAAATGCTGACAGGATTTATTTCATTTTTCATCAATCTCCTGGGATGGTTGGACTACGAGAAAAATATAGACCAGTAAATTTTCATTATATGTATACACAGTTGATCTGAGCATGAAATAGTACTCATTGATATGGTTGAAATATCTGCAAAAATCCACAGACATGCCTTGCAAAACCACGTATCAGGGCCCTTTGATGACGTATATGCAGGAAAAGATGGTAAAAGCATGAAAATTCTCATAATCCAACTGAGAACCTAGAAAAGAAAATGTGTAAGCAATATACATTGGAATGGGCTTTCGAAAAGAACACAAACATAAAGCGTTAGTCAATGTAGTTTTTTGTCAATTCATCCATACTCAGTCTTGTTTAAACTATTTTATCTATTAATAATTCATTTACAACAAAATTATTGAATTCCGCTTTTAGTCATGATGGAATAACCGATATCAGATTTGCTTTCTTACTGTAAACAACTAGAAAACAGAGCAGAGTATAGAAAAGGATTGTTATCAGATCTTAGAAAGGGCAGTACAGGATTATGATCCCCGAGAGAAAATATACAAATGAGGTGACCCCCGGAATTGCCTCACCTTCCTTCCTTCTAGGCCACAATACAGGGAGAAGGAGCATAGCTCTCTCACTGAGCTAAGGATACAGAGTTTGGAGTTCAGGGGAGATGGGGAAACTGGAATGTGTGGTGCAAGTTGCTGGAGAAGCAAGCTATGCAGATAAAAATGTCCCCTGGCTGGGCTCGGTGGCTCATGCCTGTAATCCCAGCACTTTGGGAGGCCAAGGTGGGTGGATCACAAGGTCAGGAGTTCAAACCAGCCTAACCAACATTGTGAAATTCCATCTCTACTAATAATACAAAAATTAGCTGGGCGTGGTGGTGCACGCCTGTGATCCCAGCTACTCGGGAGGCTGAGGCAGGATAATTGCTTGAACCTGGGAGGCAAAAGTTGCAGTGAGCCTAGATTGTGCCATTGCTCTCCAGCCTGGGCGACACAGTGAGACTCTGTCTAAAAAAAAAAAAAAGTCCCCCAAATCCGCATTGAATCCTCTCTAGTCTTTGCCTAAATAACATAAGCATACTGTGAGAATCCACAAGGCTAGGCAATAAAAAACAACTTCCGAATAAAAACAACAAAAAGCAGGTAGCTATGTGCAGAATAAGTCCCAGACACACAGGACTGGGACATCTTTGAGGTTCATCCATCCAGCTAGTGGAGTATACTGCTAAAACATCCAGAATATTCAGGAGAGACTCAAGAGACTCCAGTCTTAATAAGAAAGCTAAACTACTTCTAGAATAAGGTTGGCCTAAACCCATCCTAACAAGTTTTAAAATCAGCTTTAAAAAGATGGAGCTCACATATAAATGACTTAACTTACTGCCAAAAGAAAATTTAATACTACTTAAAGAAAAATAAAAGCCCTAAGAGATATATGTATATTTATATGTATTTTAAGTAATATAATATATGCAAGTATAATATATAAATATATTATTCAGTAATAAAATACATGCTAATATATGAATGTATATTGTATTATATAGTATTGTATTATATAATTTATTATATTATATAGTATTGTATTATATATATAATATATATATATACATATATATATATTCTCTCACTCTTTCTCTTTATATATATATAAATAGACAGAGAGAGGGCCAGGCAGGGTGGCTCACATCTCTAATCCCAGCACTTTGGAAGGCTGAGGTGGGTGAATCATGAAGCCAGGGGATTGAGACCATCCTGGCCAACATGGTGAAACCTTGTCTGTACTAAAAATACAAAAATTAGCTGGATGTGGTGGCATATACCTGTAGTCTAGCTACTCAGGAGGCTGAGGCAAGAGAACCACTTGAACCCAGGAGGTGGAAGTTTCAGTGAGCCGAGACCAGGCACTCCAGCCTGGTGACAGAGTGAGACCCCATCTCAATAAAAAAAAAGAGAGAGAGAGAGAGATACTTGCAGCAATGTGATGTCACCATGTCCAGCTTCCATTAAAAAATCACCGGACATGTGAAGAAGCATGAAAAGTGTGACCTAAAACCATAAAAGACTCAGTCAATAGACACCGACACAGAAATAATAGAGAGATAAACTTAAGGAGTTCAGAAAAGCTATTATAAATACATTCAAAAATCTTTTTAAAAATAAGAATGTTATGGAAATTTTAAATGCTAGAACATGTAAGAAAGAACACAGATGTAGTTGAAAAAGCAATTTGTAGCCAGGCTATGAACTACAAATGTCAGGTTTGCACACCTGCATCCACACATGGATTATACACTTGCATAGTGGAATTAATAGGCAGAGAGGCCCTGGAGCAAGACTGAATTGGTTACTAGGCTGTAGGTATCAGTTACCTCAGCATGACCCTCTCCAGACACTTAATCCCATAATGCCTTCCTTTCCTCTCTGATAAACAGTTGTAATATTATTACCTAGTTACAAGTTATGCTGTTGACTAATTAAGTTGCTACAACCAAAGGATTATAGAAGTGTTAGCTATTATTATATGTGTACATGCACGTGTGTGTATACCCACACTGACTTATATGTGACATTATTCTCTGATTGTTTTTCTCTTATAGGTTCTGTGGGAAGTCATTGCTGCCCAGAGTGGAGAATGAAATCAGCAAGTATCTAGCATACACCATATATGTGACTTCCTTCCATCTGAGTCCAGGAAGTCAGTCTGATAACCATCACAGCTTTCCTCCATCTCTAACTGGAACCATATGGATATTATAAAATCTCAACCTTGAACTCCTTTTAATGCAGCCAGGGGCTCAAGTTTATTTAAGCTTTTGATCTTCTATTTTCCCTATGTATGAGATGGGAGTACTTCTCTATCAATATTTAAAAGCTGGTACCAAACGACCTTGAGTATGGTTAAGTAGTTTTTTCTATCAGTTCATCTCTTATGGTTTGGCTCTAGCAAAGTTTAAGGAAGTGGTTTGATTATAGAAGGATGTGGGATTCCACCAACTGCACATTTCTAATCTTAGTGGAGGCATTTACTTATTTCATTAAGTGTTCACCTAGTGTCTCACCTTCTTGGAAGAGTTTTATCATGCATACTAGGCAGTGTTCAACCAGAGAAGCAGAAACACTGGGAGATTTATATGCATGAGTATATTGTAAGGGATTTCACAGCTGTGGAAGCTGGTTGCATTTCAAGTCAGAGGCCAGTGCAGGAAGTCCAGAGGGCAGATAGAAAGGTTACTGCTAAAGACTGAATGTTTGTGTCCCAACAAAATTTATTTATTAAAATTCTAACCCCTAATGTGATAGTATTAGGAGATGGGGTCTTCGGGAGGTGATTAGTTCATGAGGGTGGAGCCCTCATGAATGCAATTACTGTCTTCATGGAAGACATCCTAGAGAGCTCTCTCCCCACTTCCACAGATGTCTCATCAGACGCTGAATCAGCCGGCACTTTGATCGTGAACTCTCCAGCCCCCAGAACTGCGAGACATGAACTTCTGTTGTTTATAAGCTTCCCAGTATATGGTAGTTAGTTATAGAAGCCCAAATGGCCTAAGGCAGTTACAAAGTGGAGGAGAGCAACACAAGCTGGAGCTCAAGTGCATGGAGCTGGACACAAAGGCACAGGGACTGATTGAAACTCCTGTCCACTCCTCCTGCTCTGTCACGGTAGCATGGACATCCTGTAGAAGCCAGGGCCCCTCCTCACACAGGTAAAGACATATACCTGACCCAGAAATCAGAGAAAGGGGAGAAGCATCCAGGGAGAGGAAAAGCAGATGCAGACCCACATATTGCTTTAAGTCAACAGTCAGTCAACTGTTGTTTATTATTTGTGTTGAAAGCCAACATATAGACTGCAGAATGATAAGGCTGCTAGAAATTGCAGAAGTCATTTATTCCCGTCTTCTAACTCCAGGCAGGCTTTGCTCAAATCTTTTCAGACAAATTCCAGCCATCTCTCTCTTTGTGCAAGGTGTCCTCAGGCTTTTAACCACCCTTTGCATTATTTAACAGTAGGTTGGACTGCGTTTCTATCTCTATCAATTGGAAAACTGAAATAATGTAGAAAATTTGAACTGTGTATCTATTATTAACTAACATTTCTGGAAAACTTAAGCAAAAATGGAATTTGGGGATTTGTGAAGAAATAGTTGTAATTATCTACTTAGCATTGACAGTGTCTATTTATTCATTTGGTCAGTGGTCAATCTGACTGACTACTCCAGAGCTTCATGGCTGCTGTAGTTCATGGGCCAAGTGGACTGTGCTGAGGCCATAACAAGGCCTAAGGCCAAAATAAATAATTTTGGGGTCTCAGGCATGATAGGTTATGCCCGTAATCCCAGTGTTTTGGGAGGCTGAAAGAGAGGATTGCTTGAGGCCAGAAGTTCGAAGCTAGCCTGGGCAACATAGTGAGATCTCGTCTCTATAAAATAATAAAACATTAGCTGGGGATGGTGGCTGGCATGTGCCTGTAGTCCCAGCTACCAGGAAGGCTGAGGTGGGAGGATGTCTTGAGCCCAGGAGTTCTAGGCTGCCGTGAGTTGTGATAGCACCACTGCACTGCAGTCTGGGGGACAGAGCGAGATTCCCTCTCTTAAAAAAAAAAAAAGGAATTTTTGGGGGACTAACATGGCCACATATTTATCTTGTTAGTAGATACTACTACTTCTAGTAAGATAATTTCCTCTTGTTTCTAAGGTAAACCTTCAACTTCAACAATTCCGTTTTCTTTATTCGAGTTGACTCGGTAACAGTGTCCAGCACCTTGCTAATTAGGCCTTTGTATAAATGAAGACATGTTAGCTGCATATTTCTTAAGTGATTCTGATTTCTTTAGCCATCCTTCTCCTATATTTTCCAGCCCTTTGGGCATTCCTTCCCTTCATCTCCCAAAATCTTGACAAAATTCTGACCATTCAGAGAAAGACTTTTTTCATTTACCATTTAAGCAGAGGAGGGAGTAATTACTTTCTTTCCCTTTAAGAAACATAAAATATTTGGGAAAATACTGGTTAGTGGAAGACCTGTTCTCAGCATGGTTTTCCAACACTTTGGACTTACAAATAAGTGACCTGTTATAGATATTGATGTTGGCAATATCAGTAGCTCTGAGACCCAGACGTGGATGACCATATTGGAAACTTACAGTGCCAAATATACATATGTGCTGATCTGAAGGGGATGAGATCTGAAGTCATTGGTCACTTCAAATTGTCTAAAGGCCTAGTCTCAGCCCTAACCCTGCCAGAGAAGGGCAGGGGTTTCTAGGGGCTATTTGATCTGTGGCCTCTGACTCAGTGGGGGCATCAGCAGCACTTGTGTCATGTAAGAGAATGAGTTGATGCAAGCCTCATTTAAAGGGCCACAGGATAGCTATGATTTTTTTTACCTCTGCCTCTTTCTGCTCAATGGGTATAGAAACAAACAAACAAAAAATTTTGATCAAACTAGCTCCCTTCAAAAAAAGGTAAAATAGTAGTGGCTATACAGTAACACAGTCACTTCTTGATAATATCTAAATGTGGACAAAAGAAAACAGCAATAAAGACCCCTAGTATTTCACTACGATGAGATCATTGTGGCAACACACTGTGTCTTCAGGGAATGTGCCTCTGTGGAAGATACTTTCTCAGTGTACACTTAGGAGCCCATTCTGCAGTACAAGCGCGAAGCTATTTTCTGTTTTAGTGGAATCTATAACAGACAGTAAAAATCATTGGATATTTTAAAAAATCTTACCTATGGAGAGAAAAGAATGAAGTTTACAACAAATACCTCAGAGATTTGTGAAATAAAATCAACTCAGCCAGATGCAGTCGCTCATGCATATAATCCCAACACATTGGGAAGCTGAGGTGGGAGGATCACTTGAGCCCAGGAGTTCAAGACCAGCCTGGGCATAGCAAGACTCTGTCTCTACAAAAATAAAATAAAATAATAGCCAGGCGTGGTTGTGCACGCCTTAGTTCCAGGAATTCCACAGGCTGAGACAGGGGAATCACTTGAGCCTGAGAGGTTGAGGCTGCAGTGAGCCATGATCATGCCATTGTACTCCAGTCTGAACAACAGATTGGGACTCTCTCTCAAAAAGGAAGAAAGGAAAGAAAGAGAGAAAAAGAGAGATAAAGAAAGAGAGAGAGAGAAAGAGAGAAGGAGGAAAGAAAGAAAGAAGAATAAAGAAAAAGAAAGAAAGAAAGAAGAAAGAAGGAAAGAAAGAAAGAAAGAAAGAAAGAAAGAAAGAAAGAAAGAAAGAAAGAAAGAAAGAAAGAAAGAAAGAAAGAAAGAAAGGAAGGAAGGAAGAAAGATGGAAGGAAGGAAGGAAGGAACAAAGGAAAGAAGGAAGGAGGGAAGGAAGGAAATTCATAGATAAAGAGGGAACTTGGTAAATATGATCTCAACATCCAAAAATCCTTTAAAAGGATTTATTTAAAAATCTATCATGGAAATTGCATTCCAGTGTGACCATCCTTACAGTCTCTGGTGGCTAGAAAATGTGGTCAATTTATCAGCAGAGAAATGCCTTGTGTAAGGATAAATGTGCCCTTAAATGGATAAAGAACTTTACACCATGGAAGATCAGTACTCTACCTAGTTTCGTGTAATAAGTAAATGTCTTGGAGGAGTCAGGAGCATGATGTGGACATTTAAATATGGCATTAAACTCTTTAGAGTAGTGAAAACACTGTATTAATGAGGAGTAAAGGAGACTTCACTTGGTCTAATGAATGGAGAAAAATTACAGATAAATTTCTCTGTGGGTAAGCACAAAGTACTGCTATCATAGATATATATACTTATAGACATTGAGCTATATTTTACAGCCCAGGGAATGGTTTTAGAAAGTTTTGAAAGGTATTGTGAAGATGTGATGCTTAAAGTTCTTTTGGTAAAAGGTAACGAATAAGTAAGTGAAGACCTTAAAGATATTGACCAGTTGAGGCACTATTTATAAAGCCCAGAAAAATACTGAATATCATCAAAGTCTCAAGCATATCTTTTTTTTTTTTTTTTTTTTGAGACGGAGTTTCGCTCTTGTTACCCAGGCTGGAGTGCAATGGTGCGATCTCGGCTCACCGCAACCTCCGCCTCCTGGGTTCAGGCAATTCTCCTGCCTCAGCCTCCTGAGTAGCTGGGATTACAGGCACGCACCACCATGCCCAGCTAATTTTTTGTATTTTTAGTAGAGACAGGATTTCACCATGTTGACCAGGATGGTCTCGATCTCTTGACCTCGTGATCCACCCGCCTCAGCCTCCCAAAGTGCTGGGATTACAGGCTTGAGCCACCGCGCCCGGCCCCCAAGCATATCTTTTAACATTCATTACATTTCCAGGGGCTCAATATTAACACAGAATGGGGTCTTATATTAATATGTCATAAAGAAAGATAAGTAATCTGACCAAGCCTGTCGTTGAAAGCATCTAAAATTTCCTGAAAGCATATTTTAAGATATTTCTAAAAGCAAGCAAAAGCAAGCAAAATTTTGTTAATAAACTGATACAGAAACCCAAAGAGCCAAACAGAACACCAAGACCACTTTTGCCCTATGGACTTGAAGGTAATAATTTAAAGTTTTAGAGAGAGACAATATATTATAGATCAAAGTAACCAGCTAACTTCATGCTAGACCAGATTGCCTAGGTGTATTAACTCACTACTTGACTTTGGACTAGTGATTTAACCTCCCTCTACCCTAAGTTTTTCAATTATAGAGTGGGTTAATGATAGTGCCTCTTAGGGCTGACATAAAGATTAAATAAATTAAAGCACATAGAGCACTAACTAATAAATAGTGAGCTATACATATGTGTAAACAAATTTTAAAGTATTTAAGAAAAAAATAAAAAATGGGAAAGAGGGGATGTGATTGGGGAAGGCAGACAGGGGCTTTCTGGATGGCTGTAATGTTGTTCTTGTCCACGCTGGAGATTATGCAGAAGTTCACTTTAATGTTATTGTTGAATGATATAGCTATATGTTATTCACTTTTCTGTATGTGGTTGTATCCTATTTTTCAAATGGAGTAAAACCTGTGGGAGTGGTTCTTAAATATTTTGTCCTCAGGTCCTCTTTAAAGTCTTCAAAACTGTTGATCATTACAAATAACTTTTGTTTACAAGTTATATTTATCAATGTTATGATTTTAAAAATAAAAACTAAGATGTTTTTAATACGTAGTTATTAATGAATTTTAAAATCACAACAAAAATTACATGGTAACATAAATTACATATTTTGAAAAAAAATGCTATCTTTTTGGAAACCAATGAGAAAAGTGGCATTTAAAAATAATTTTGCAAATTACTTTAATATCTGACTGAATAAAAACCAGCTAAATTCTCATATCTTCTCTGCTCTCGATTTGTTGACAATTATTGTTTTGGTTAAAGTACATGAAGAAAATCCAGGCTTATACAGACATTCCTTTGGAAAGAAGAGGAATATTTAAATTGGCTTTCTAGATACTTGTGAATATTCTTTTTTGATTTGTGAATATTCTTTCTATATATTTGTGAATATCAAAAGTAGACAAGTGGTAATTTCTTAAAGGTGGTTGCAATGTAGAATCAAATCATATCAATAAAGTTTTATATATCTATTCCCCTTTTACTCATTCATAAACTCCTACTGGTTCCCCAAGTTAGGCAGATCTGCCAAATGTTAACACATTTTGCTAAGCAATATCATAAGTGGCATCATTAACATCACCACCAATCTCATTGGAAACTTTTAAGTACTAGGAAACTGTCATATTAAGAATGGCAGATTACATTTTCCAAAGTTTCAGTTTTCTCCTGTAAGCCTTAATTTTCTCATTGGCAATAAAGAGTGATAATTGTTTTCCTGAACTGACAGTCTGATGTCATTAATTTTCAAGAAAATGTCTGCCCTTTTCCCAAACATAAATAACTCTACCTCATCTGGTAGTAGGTCTTTCAAGAAAAAAAAAAAAAAAAAAAAAAAAACCTCTGATATTCTTGGGAAAAGTGGCTAAGTCAGCTTGCAACTGACACAATCTCACATTGCTTGAAACAGCCATCATACTTTGGTACACAACAGAAATAGCCTATGTACATTTCCTATTTTTCATAAGGAAAACCTAAAAAGATATGTATTCAAGTATCAGAATTTTAAATGGTAACATGATTACTGTTTCCACAGGACATTCTTAAGCGAAACTGACTTACTCTTTTTTTCTTTTTATTGCATATGTGCGGTTTGGGAAATAAGAAAGACAACTTTGGACTTTCATCCACTGGTCTTTAGTTCCAATAAGACAGAAGACACATGCTTGAAATGTCCAGGCCAATATAAAAAGTCTTATGTTCATCTTTCTGAGGAATATGCAAACACCAGATCACTAAATTTCACCATGACATTATGCAACCTGACTAACCATCCTGTGCATCTTTTTAATCAACCACAATTGTAAACGTTCACATTTAAAGGTATGTTTTGTGCCAGTTTCAAAGAAAGAAAACATTGGTCCAATTCAAGCTTAGAGATAATACCTCTCCTACAATATTTTAAGCATTAATTCAGGCAATTCTGTCTACATATCTGAACTGTCTTGGATAAAAAATGCCATTAATTTATTTACTCCAGTTCTGAATACTTCATTAGATCACCAAAAACATGCTATGAAAAGGCAAAAGTTCAAATAACAAAAATCTAGTATGAGGGGTCTTGAAAAAAATCCATGGAGAATGCATATTGCAAAAAAAATGGGTGGATTTCAAATTTTTTGCACGAAAATAAACTTGTACTAATTTGTTATACTGTGAAAAGAATTTAATTGGAAGCACTAAGAAAGAACAGACATCAGTTTGAAAAGAACCTCTATCAGAGCAATATGAATTCTGCTAAAATTGAAGAAAGAAAAAAAATTAAATTTATGGCGAAACTTGGGTCGAAGAATGGTAAAATAACTGATGATTTACAAAGAGTTATGAGAATAATGCCCCAAAGAAACTAGCAGTTTACAAATGGGTAACTTCTTTTAAGAAGGGACAAGATGACATTGAAGATGAAGCCTGCAGTGGCAGACCATCCACATTAAGTTACTAGGAAAAAATTAACCCTTTTCATGCCTTAATTAATTAGAACCAATGATAAATTGCAGAAACCATAGCCAACACCATAGACATCTCAATTTTTTCAGCTTTCACAATTCTGACTTAAAAATTAAAATTGAGCAAGCTTTCCATTTGATGATTGCCAAGACTGCTGCAACCAGTCAGCTCCAGACAACAGCAGAGATTTCAATGGAAATTTTAAACAAGTAGAATCAAGATCCTAAAACATATCTTCAAAGAATTGCAACAGGAGATAAAACATGGCTTTACCAGTATGATCCTGAAGACCAAGTGCAATCAAAGCAGTGGCTACCAAAAGGTAAAAGTGGTCTCGTCATAGCAGAAGTGGATGGTCAAGAGCAAAGGTCATGGTAACATTTCTGGGGAATGATGAAGGCATTTTGCTTGTTGACTTTCTGGAGGGCCAAAGAATGATAACATCTGCTTATTATGACAGTGCTTTGAGAAAGTTAGCCAAAGCTTTAGCAGAAACATGCCCAGAAAATCTTCACTGGAGTGTCCTTCTCTACTCATTCCTCTCATTAAACAAGGGACATCTTGCAAGAGTTTTTATGGGAAATCATCAGGCATCCACCTTACAGTCCTTCCTGATTTGGCTCCTTCTGCCTTTTGTTTCCTAAACTTACAAAATTTTTAAAGGGCACTAATTTTTTTTCCAGTTAATAATGTAAAAAGCCTGCACTGATACAAGTAAATTCCCAGGACCCTCAGTTCTGTGGGGGATGGACTAAATATCTGGTATCATTGTTTACAAAAGTGTTTTGAATTTGATGAGGCTTATAGAGTTTATAAGCTTGTGTTTTTTATGAGAAATAAAGTTGATGGTTTTAAAATTTTATTCCTTTTTCTGTGAAATTTTTGAAGTCCCCTCACATACTTCTTAATTCATATTTAAGTTCAACAAATTTAATTTACAAAGAGTTTGAAACCACACATACATGCACACACACACACACACACACACACACTCACTTCTCAGAAAGGTCTTTGTGCAAACAAAAGCAAAAGCTTTACCCTCAGGATGATTAGATAACATGTGAATGAATATGAGGCCAAAAATAAAACCTGGAGCATCTATGCCAAGTTGGCCGTGATGGGGACGTGAGAAACTGCAGATGCTGATGTCAGGGTAGGAGGAAGAGGAGCAGAGGTGAGAGCATTGTTATGAGTGCATTACTTGAGGAGAGCATTGTTATCCTACTCTATTTCAAGCAGTATAGAGTGCAGTTTATATAAGTTCACTGTAGGAAGAAAAATTCTAGAAAAATTATTTTTAACCAGTTGCTACAGTTAAATGCAGTGTAAAACCAGAAATAAAACAAAGACTCTTAAGTAAGAGCATAAGCTTTGGTGTCTGTATCAGTTTTCAATTGCTTTATAACAAATTACACTCAGAGGCTTAAAACAACACCCACCCATGTATTAGCTCACAGTTCTGTAAGTCACAAGTCCCAGCACAGTGTAACCAGATTATCTGCTCAGGGTTTTACAAGACTGAAATCAAGCTGTCAGCCAGGCTGTATTTCTTTCTGGAAGCTCTGAGGAAGAATCTGCTTCCACACTCATGCAGGTTACTGGTCAAATTCAGTTCCCTGCAGTTGTAAGATGGAGGTCCCTATTTCCCTTCAGGATGTCAATCAGAGTCACTCAGCTCGTAGAAGCCACCCATATTCCTTGCCATGTGACCAGTAGTGGGGAAAACTATCTGTGCAGAGAGGGCTGCTTGAAATTTCATCTACTGAACAAGGTTCATGTTCATGTTTTATCCCATGTCATCACATTTAGACATGATTAAAGAGTGGTCTTGCTTTTATTTTGATGCATCATGCTGACAAAGTGGCCTCATTTGATGTTGATGTCCCATAAAATCATTCATGTTCAATGACCGCACAAAGGCCTAGTTGATAGCACCAGGCTGGCTCCAAGATGCCTGCAGCATAAGGGGCCATTGGACCACCAGATGGTTGGTCAAGTGCTGAATCTGGAGGAGTCTCACTCTGTTACACGCAGGGCAAGTTAGGGGCTTGAGGATATTGATGATCTGCGGCAGATCTTTGGGCATGAGTCCCATTTGGGGGCTCTTGCATGAGCTCTCACCCTACATGGCCATCTCCCATTCTACAGGACCATAGGGTAGAATGTCCTGTAGAATGGAATATTGTCCTGTGCAATATCCTGTATGTCCTCATCACTGGTGCCCAGCATGGCCTCTCACCCCCTCCATAGGCTCCATGCTTCTTATCAAGCAGTCCTCCATTGGAGGTAGCTGTACTTCTCTCAGGGCTCTTAAGTCCTTCGTTCTGTGACATAAATGCACCCTTCAAATAGATATTCTCCTTGCTTTCTGTCAATGTGTTGATATCATTGCTTACCATAAGCCATGCTAACAGGCATTGCTTAAGTGGGTGGATCACTCTACCATGATACCTCCCCTATTCTCCCCTGATGGAGATTTGTGGAAGCCGCGAACATGGTCACTATTGAAAGAGATCACGTAAATACAACCTGAAGAATTCTAGAGAGGTCATGGTTGGACGATGTGTTATTCTATGTTTATGTTATAAAATTCCTAATGGTAATTTAATATGAGAAGAAAACAAAATACTATTCACATTTTCCCACACACTCTGGGGGCAACCTTTGCAGTTATCATTAACAAAACAATGTAACAACCTTCGAATGAGTCACTAAAACTCCATACTCATGGGCTGCTTATGGATAACCCAGCGTCCTGAGCAATGATGTCACCAGCATGGAATCAATGATGCTAGGGAGCTGCAGAAGCAAGAAAATCTGTGTTGTTTCTATTAAACATTCTGAAGAGCCATGGCATTTTGATTTGCAAAATTTTTCTCACTATGGGATACATGAAATTAGCCAGGGGCAGCATATTTGACAATTAAGAACATGAACAGATGATTCTAAACCTGAACAGACGATTCTAAACCTGAACAGGAAGAGGTAGTGCCTAGACACCCTAAAGATCTTTCGTGTGCCCTGTTGAGAATTTACACAAATATGTACCCACTTCTCTACCCATTATTCTATGATCCTCATTGAATTCTTGCTTGAATTGTGTAACACATTCTTAAATCAAAATTTTTATATTGACAGTGGTCTTACCAAAAGTGTTTTCCAGGCCAGGTGCAGTGGCTCATGTGTGTAATACCAGCACTTTGTGAGGCCGAGGTGAGCAGATCACCTGAAGTCAGGAGGTTCAAGACCAGCCTGGACAACCTGACAAAAATCCCTCTCTACAAAAATTACCCAGGCATGATGGCAGGTGCCTGTAATCCCTGCTATTTGGGAGGCTGAGGCAGGAGAATCACTTGAACCTGGAAGACAGAGGTTGCAGTGAGCCAAGATTGTACCACTGGACTCCAGCCTGGTGACAAAGACTTCATCTCAAAAAAAAAAAAAAATTGTTTTTGGCATACACCCTAGGAGATGCCTTGCAGGGAAGGCTACCTGAAGAAGTAACGATACAGAAGTATGATTAGGAGTTAAGTAGACAAAGAGGGGAGTGAAGCTTAATTCAGTTAGAGAACATGTGCGAAGGTCCTTTGGTGTGAAAGACCAAGTGAGTGTGAGGAGCTAAAACAACGCATTCTAAAGGAATGTATTGTTTTATATACAAATATGTAACCACTTCTCTACCCATTATTCTGATAATAGTATGTTCCCCACTCGCCGAGGGACTGGTAAAAAGCCTCAGTGAATATAACATCGTCTGTGTGTTCCACACAGTTCTCGTTCTCCTGTGCCTGCCCTATGCCTGCGCCCCATCTTTGCTTCTTGCCTGGGGCCTTGACTGCTCACAGGAGATGGTTTCTGGTCTTTGCTCCTTGGCTTAAAGGAAAAAAGCTACACTTCTCATTCCTTAGTTACAATCCTTCACAGCTACAGCTTCTTCACAGAATTGGAATTCTTCTTTCTGTCGTGGCTATGGGAGGACACTTCAATGCCTGTGGTGGAAAGAGTGACTCCTTCCTTAGTGAGAGAGGTTGAACAAAACCCCTTGTTGTACAGAAGGATACATGCGGTGACATTCTTCTGTATCAGAGCCAGCACTTCCCCTAGCAACTGATGCTTGGAACATAACTATTTAGTCACCTTACCCTCAATAATGCAGGGGCAGTATCCGTTTTAATAATTTCAGGGGCTGAAATGAAGAACAAAACTAATATAAAGTATAGGGGAAAGCAGCATTAGGTACGCGCAGAGTCTGGCATCTTTTCTTTGAGGCTTTGTTAGGGTTTTGTCTCCGTGGATCTGAATTGCTTTTATTCCGTGATTTTTCCCCAGGCTTTAATCTCATTAGCTGTTTTTTTTTTCCCCCAAGTAAAAAACAAATCCCAAGGGTCTATGTAGGAAAGACATCTGTCTGAAGAGTGGAAACTTGACATAGACCCAGCCAGTCTGAGGAAGGGGAACAGCACCAAGGCTGGAAAAAAAAAAATGGGATAATGGGAACTGGAGAAACGTAGCTGTCACAAATACAGCCTTGGGAGAGTACCTCCTCTGAGAAGCTTTCCTTGATTTACACTCCTCCCCACCCTGCTCCGACTGTAATTCTCAAACTGTCTGCCTAAGATTTAATAGAACATACGCCTTTTTTCCCCAGCCTAACCTCAGTGCCACTCTCCACCAGATTAAAGAAGGCAGCTGGATCATGGGATGCTAGAGCTTAGAAATAGAAGGAGAGCTCATCTGAGACATGCTGAGTGGTGACACTTCTGAGTGGACTGCAGGAACAAAGCGAGAGGGAACATCTTGACCCCTTACCTACACTGCAAGTCCCTTGAGTGAAAAAATGACTCTCCTTATCCTGAAAACCTGAAAACGCTACCTCAAAAATCAACTCAATAAATGTTTTGTGACAATGTGATTATGTGCTTTGTGCCAGTTTTGTGAATCACATCTCAGAGATAATGGTGTTGATATTGATGGTAATGTACCTGGTAAAGGAGCTTTGGCTCCAAGATAGGAAAAGAAAAGAAGATTCTGCCCCACGAGCAGGTCTACTCAGCTGTGGCTCTCAATCAGGAGGGCATCTGGGGTAAAATCCTTTGTTCTTTGGATAAAAGAAGAAAGACCCAGGAATTACATATATATGCCTCTATAAGTATGTCAAAGGGTGAGCAACATTCACTTAAAACAAGGAGGGTTTAATGAATGACTGCTATGTGCCAAAGGGTTCTCAAGCACTGGCATATTTAATCCGCCAAATTACTCAGGGTAATTTTACACCAACATTTCACTTGAAACTGAGATCCAGGGATGTTGAACTTTCCTGAGGTTATTCTGCAAGGAAAGGCTGGAGTCTGCAGCTAGCGCCTCTGTCTCTGTTTCAAAGCACACTTCACAGCTCCATAGCTGCCAAAATATGGAAGGCCGACAGTTCATTCAGATGGAGAGTGAGTCCAAAAAGTATTTAAGACAGAAATCCAAATATCTTCAAAACAGCAATATCCTCCTCAGCCAGTTGTTTGCACAGGCATCTTTGTTGCCATCCAGGCAAACTTGAGCACATACCTTCCCCGTGCTTCCCTGCCCTGAGCCAATGCTGTCCTTCTTTGACAAGGGAGGGCAGGACTGTC